AGTGATGTCAGAGTTGCAACTTTCTATAGCCAATGGGGATAAACCGTCTGTGGATACTGATTGGAATTGATACTCTGTATTTCAAAGGGGAATCGATACTCTGTATTTCAAAGGGGGGAGTTCAAAAAGTTCATAATTATTTGCCCAATTTAAGCACTTTTAAAGTTTACATTCTTCTCCTAGCTCACACATTACATCACTCTATTCTTTTTGTCTCAAGACAGGGTCTCAATATGTTGCCCACGTACTAGCTGCCACCTCAGCCTTCAGGATAGCTGGGACTAACTACAGACATTTGCCACTGTGCCCAACCCTTACACAGATATAAACAAAACTAAATACAAATCTTTCAGGAGCTGAAACCCAACATGATTCTCATAGTCTAAATTTAAGAACTCATAATACTGTGTTTATTAAGTCAAATGCAAATTACTGAATGAATTCTTAAGCACTAGAATGGGAAAAAACTAATGTTTATTAAGTAATCAAAAGACTCATTGTTCAAGAAAATGAGAAAACAAACTTAGCATTTACTACTGAATGCTATCCTGACACAAAGCTCAAAGAGAACAGACATTTGGACTACAATGGAAAAGTACTATGTCTTCCAAACTCATAGATCTCTGATATACAGTACTTTTACTGTAACATTTACAACATACAAACAGGACTCCGGAATACAGATCAATCTTAGAGACCCAACAAGCCTGGGTCCTAAATTTTAATTTAAGTCTGGGCACAAGTTCTAAACTGTTAAGTATATTGTGTATGTTTTATAAAAATCAATTTTAAGTTCTCCATCTCATCTCACACTACTACTGTCCACTACTACTATCAGCGCACTAGACCATACTTTATAGCAGCAGAAAGCACAATATCAACACAGAAGAGACCGGTAATAATTATAATGGGGATACCAAAATATAACTATACAAAGAGGAAAAGCAATAAGATTCCAAGAAAGTGATTAGATTTATTTTTCAGAAAAGCAAAGAGTGTCAAATCAGGAAAATGTTAGGAAACTGATGTGAATACAGGGACTTGGGGAGATAGTTGGTCAAGTTTTACTACACAAGCATGAGGACCTGAGTTTCTCTCCAGCACACCCTGGTAAAGGCTGGCATGCCTGAGATCTCAGTGCTGGGGAAGTGGAGACAGGAGGGTCTCTGGGGCTCTGCTGGCCAGCTAGCTAATCGTCTAGCTGCAGGTTTAGCAAAAGACCCTGACTCAATAACATAAAATAAAGCAGAGAGTGACTGAAGAAGCCAACCGATGCTGACACCTAGCCTACAGGAAAATATTCGCCATGCATGCACAGACAATTGAAGGTGTGGTTTTAGAGAATTGGGCTTCAGCTCCCTACACTTAACTTGAACTGAGACTCAAGTTTTTAACTGTAAAATAGGAATGAAAATCCTTATTTCATAGTTGTGCAATTATGATATTTACATTAAGAAAGGATTTAAGCCTAATTTGAGACCTCAACAAACTGCAAGGAAGACCTAAACATTTTTACAGCTAAACTATGTCAAACCTGCCAAGGGAAAGATTGCCAGAGCAGAGACAGAGAAAGCCCTTTCACACCTCTGTCCAGGGTCTCTCTTTCTAGTCAGAAAACAAAGCACTACAAAGTTTATAACGAACAGGGAAAGGTACACTGTGAGATCATTCTCACGCACATCAGAAACAAGCTACTATCAAGATGCCTGTATCCCCAGAAGAGCACCCCTTGGTGAAATCTAATAAGAAATCTAATACAACTCACCAACCAACAGGTTAAAATAATACCACATTGTCATCTCCATGAAGGCATGTGATCAGATTTAATATCTCAACTCAAAAAAAAAAAAAAAAAAGAAAGAAAAGAAAAAAGAAAAGGACAAAAGATTTTTAACAGATAATAAAATGAAAATTATGAATATTTGATGTGAAACCCTAAAGGCATTCTTAGGCGTTTAGGGCTGACTTCTTGGGATTGGCTAGCCTACCACAAGGCTCATCCCTGGGGAAACTGATTCTCCTCTCTCAAGTACCCACTAATTGCCTGTAGCTCTTTCAAGGAAGAAACCTCATGAGAATTCCCCCACCCACACTGACTTGGTATGGCCACTTTTGGGGTGGATTTAAGGAACCATATTGTGATTACCTAATACATGCGATTTCCTTGTCATATACAGAAGACATTGTCTCATAGCAGACATCCCAACTCTGTCCTCTGACTCTTAACAATCTTTCTAACTCCTCTTCCATGATGTTCTCTGAGCCATAGAGTAAAGGTTGTGCTGTAGACATATTACTTGGGGCTCAGCACCCCATAGTCAGTTTAAACAGCATTTTCAACTGCTAAATGTTCTCTTTCCTTTGTTCAGATAGGCAGCTAACTCTGGGAGGACAAAAAAAAAAAAAAAAAAAAAAAAAAAAGGTCTGGCAGTTCTTGGATTTCAAGTACTAAGCAATATAACAGACAAACTGTTAACTTCCCACCCTCATCCCACCCTCTGCAAAGAATGACAAAGCATTCCATAGTGATGCTAAGGGTCTCAGGCTCCACAGAACGTATTCTTCTGAAGGATATCTGTTCTCACAATATTAGGATGCTATCTTAGCTTTTTTGAGGACCTTTAAAAAACACTTCAGAAAACCATCTTGGTACTATTGACAACATCAACAGAGTACACTGTCTTTATTATCTTATTCCTTGTTAAAGATGTTGCTTCCAGAAATGTCCTTCCTTCTTATTGGTCAACCTTCTCTTCAGCTCCTCAAGGATTAAGTTTGAATAATTCTCTCATTCTTTCCCCCCAAAATCCCTTACCTTGAGTCTACTCTTTTTCTTCATGCATGCATGCAAACAAACATCAAATTCTTTCAACCTATGCTCTACTGTAGTGGACTTTTTATAAAAGATTTACTTTATGTGCATGAGTGTTTTGCCTACATATGTATTTTACCTACATACACATATGTAAGAACTGCATACCTGGTACCATTAAAGGTCAGAAGAGGGCATCAGATCTCCTGGAACTGGACTTACGGGTGACTGTGAACAAACATGTGGGCGCTAGCACCTAAACTGCAGCCCTCTACAAGGGCAACAAGTATTATTCCATAGCCAGCATTTTCTCCTTTCTTTACTTCACTTTTCTTGAAAAGCCTCACCCACAAATCTCAACTTTATTGCAACAGTAATCTGATGGCTGGTTTTGAGCTATACTCCTAAAAGTCACTTATGATGATTTTCTGGGCTTCATTACAAAATAAATAACAGGCAACAGGGTGCTGAATAAGAGTGAACTAGAAGACATATATAAACTTACTGTCAAAATTACACCATTCTTTAAAAATGCAACCAAAAGGGACTTTATAAAGTAGAAGAATCAAAAACTAGAAAGAGGAAGGACAAGGTCTTGGATATGACTCAATGGTAAAGACACTTGCTACCAAGCCTGATGACCAGATAGGCTAAGCATCCACAAGGTGGAAGTAAAGAATGAACTGATCCTGGTGTCGTTGCAATCACATGCACACGTACGTACACACACACACACACACACACACACACCACAAACACCACGCAAACACATCTTTTTAATTTTTCAAAGGAAAGACAATAAGAACTGTGCACTGGCCCAGTTCATTCCCCACCCTGTGTTTATATCCAGAGGCTGTTAGTTCTGATTACTAACAGGGTTTCCAATCTGTTTCTGGCAATAATGTTAATAAATCAAATTACTTTAGTATGTGTCAATTGTAGGATCTGTTTTCCTAAATACATGTGGGCTTCCCCGTGCCACTAATGTGATCAGATTATCTGAATATCTGTCTTTGAGGCTACTACTAACAAAGCAGCCCTTTTTCTTGTCCTTCACTGTGCTTCAAAGCATGTTTCAAACTAAGTTTCATCCTGTAAACCTTAAAAATGTATTCATTTAAAGGGGGAAAAGGTGCTCACAAATGACAGCAGGCTGGTTCTGTTGGCAGCAGAGCAAGTGGTCTCAGGAAAACACATCTACCAGAACTATCGCGTTGCTTCAAGGTTACACTAATCTTTATGGCTTTATGCAGATAAAAGTTTAAAAACTGGAAGCCTCAAACTGCAACGTGTTGCATGAACCACAGGGCTGGCACATCTCCTCCAAAACCTACTGTGTTGCCCAAAGGACACCCACTTTGCAAAAGGCCAGTGTAGATCTGCAACTGATAGCAGTCTCTAAGTAGTAGCAGCACTCCCCCTACCTGAGTAAAGCAGCCTCTGCCCGCGTGCGATAGCGTTTTATCCTAGAGCCGATTTTGTGCAGTGCAAAACCACTAGGGACAAATTTAAATCCTTCAGGAACTCTAAACGTACAAAGCACACACATGCACGCTGCAGAGCGGAAACCCAGTTTTGCCGAAGTGTGCAAACTTGGGGTGTTTTCGTGGTGAAAAACAAAATAATAAAAAAACAAAAGACGTTTAGCGGAAACCTCGACGATTCTCGAGCGCAGGCACTGCAGCCTCGGAAGAGGCAGAACTCCAGGGTCCAGGGCGGCGCGGGCAGAAGATGTGTTCTCCGGGAGATGGACAGACCAGGCTGGCACTCTGAACCCCCCAGCCCCGCGGGACCCGAGACCCGGGCGAGTACGGCTTTGAGGAGCACCGGGTCTACGGGGCCCGCGTGGGCCGTGGGGCCGGACGCTGAGCGGCAGGGACGAGTGGGCAGCGGCCGTAAGCTACGGTGGACTCCTCGATAGGCCGACCCTGGGGCGCCCCGAGCTCACCACCCCAACCAAGAACCGAGCCTCGTCGGTAGCAGGCAGCCGGAACGATCAACTTCGGCTTCCCGGGCGCCCCGACCGCCCGGCCTCGCGCGGGAGCCGTTACCCGCAACCGGCCACCGCCCCAGGACGAAGTCCTTGCCCGCCTCCCGCAGCTGCCTCAGCCCCACTCCTCCCAGACCAAAGAAAGTTCTCGGTCTCCCGGCGCCCCGGGGGCCGGCGTGCGGCTCGCGGCGGACTCACCAGAGCAGCTCCGGACCCACCGCGGCCTCGCCTCGCGACCACGGCGACCACGGCGACCGAGGCAACCCGGAGACTGAGCTCCGCCAGCAGCCGCGCCACCTGCCCCTCTCCTCCTAGCAGCGCGGGTCCGGGCGAGCCATCTTCCCTCCTCTCTCTGACTGACAATCCAGCCCCGACAGCCGCCACTGCCGCCAGCCTCTCTGACAGGCACCACCAGGGACCCGTCCCCAGGCAGCCAACCACCACCGCCCCACGCCTGGGCAGCCTATCACTGGCCTCCAGGGTGGGACCAGAACAACTTCTTCACCAATAAGAATTTGCAGCTGCTGGGACTCCGAGGGAGGGGGCGACCTGGGGGCGTGGTCTGGCCGATGGGCGTGGTCGGGGAACGCCCAGGGGAGATGAGTGACTGGGGTTTGTGGTGGCCCCTAGGCGATGATCATCAGCGAAGGTCTCAGACTCTCTGAGCCCGTTAGAGCTTATGGATTCTTAGAAGAAATTAAGCCTTACCAGATGCTGTAAAACATAACCAGAAAAGCAAAGCAAACTGATAATTACTCAAATCATCTCACAAAAGTATATCAAAATTTGATCAGATCCTCTGAGGGGGGAAATGTATGTTTGCAGAAACAGCAATGAAAATCCTTCCCCTTTGTTATATTCATTTCTTTTTGCCTTGGTGTTCAAATTTCAAACATGGGGGTCGAAGAAATGACTTAAGAGTTAAAAGCACTTACTGCTCCTGCCCCCACATGGAAGGAGTAGTGGTGTTCACACCTCTGTAATGCCAGTTCCCAGGGATCAGTCTTCTGGCCTCTGCAGTCATCTATGCATGTGTACATAACACACACACACACACACACACACACACACACACACACACACACATTAAAATTTTTAACAGTCAAAAGGGGAATGGAGAAATGTCTCAGAGCAGATGAATGGGGTTCAGTTCCCAACACCCACATCAGGGCTCACAGCGGCCCATAACTCCAGTTCCAGGGGATATGATGCTTCTGGTTTCAGAAGGCACCTGCACGATGTGGTGCACATACATACACTCAGGCATACACATAAACACATTAAAAAATACATCTTTATCTTAAGAAAAAGAAATTCAAATATATTTCTCCACTCATTCCATAATCCACTTTTCATCTTCCCTACATATTTTCCCCTTAAGATCATATTAAACTGCCCCCTGTGAGCCAGCTACTGTGTAAGTTCCACTGTGTCATGTGACCTTGCAAACCCCCTCCCCATTACAGTCCTCTTAACTCTAATCTGGTTAAATTAGACGAAGTTAAAAACAAAAGGCCAACCTCCAATCTGGAAGACAGGAAGCCATCCTAGCTTAACGCTACAAATGAAAAAAAAATTTTCTCCCAATGCATTAAGCAACTTTTTAAAACATGCCAAAGAGATAACAATCAATCAAACCAAATTAGGTTTCATTAAATACATTGCTAATACAGAATTAGCCCTCCAAAGGCATAGTAGGATATATAAAAAATAAAATAAATGGTATTAAAGTAAACAGAACCATGTTAAATGGGTGAAAAGAATACAAGATAAGAAAAGTCAAAGAACGCCACGGAGATGTTTGAATCATCTCTGAGAAGACAATACAAGATGATGGCACATGCCTGTACTCCCAGCTACTAGAGAAGCAGAGGCAGAAGGATCGCCAATTTGAGGTCAGCCTGGGCATCTTAGAAAGACCCCAACAAGGTAAAAGTTTAAAAGGGCCGAGGGCATGGTTCCGCAATGGAGTACCTGCTAGTATGTGCTAGCCCCAAGTTTAAAGTCAGGGTCGTTTCAGAAAGAGAGCAGCACATCCGTCCAAAGTCACAGAGTTGTGGAAGGGCACAGAGTGATCAGACACACAGAAAAATGACTGGGACAAACAGATGAGAAGTCACAAACTCGCCTACAGCAAAGAGTTGAGATGGACCTATGAAAAATCTATATGCTTAATATAAGGTGTTTAAATCAGCGCCATTTGCAGTGGTGTCGGCCATGTTGGAAGTAGTCTCTATTGGATTGTCCAAAATGGCAACAACTCACTAAATATGGCTATTGAGCACTTGGACTATGGCACGATTGGGGATCTTGGGGTTTGTTTATTTAATTTAGTGTGTGAGAGAGAGAGGGGGAGAGAAAATAAGAGAGACACAGAGTGAGAGAGAGAGAGAGAGATGGGGAGAGAGATATGCATGTATGTAGGTGAATGTGCTGCAGCACATGTATGGAGATAATTCCTTTATAGAATTGCTTCTCTCCTTCCATCTCTGTGTGAGTTCCAGACATCAAACTCAGGTGTTCAGGCTTGTGTGGCAGTAAGCCATCGTGCCAGCCTAGGAACTCCAGTATTAACACAACTTTAATAATGCCCCTTTGGAGCAAACACCTTAGGTTTATAGTTTAGTCGATAGGCGAGGACAGCCCTGTGAAGTGTGAGTGGAGGTATGTGTTTGGGGTTCTATGAGACATGGTCTCACTGTGTAGCCCTGAGCTTGCCTCCTGCTCTGCTTCCAGGGTTGCACTCACGTCCAGCTCAGTAGAACTTTTACATAGCATGGCCAATATAGTGTTGCCTCATTTAAAGTGTAAGAATTCAAACACAGAGTAGAGTAAGTCTATTCCCTTTGACACTGTGGTAGTTTGAATGTAATTGGCCCCCATAATCTCATAGAGGGTGGCACTAGTAGGAGGTGTGGTCTTGTTTGAATAGGTGTGGTCTCATTGAAGGAAGTATGTCTCTGTGGAGGTGGACTTTGAGGTCTTATATATGCTCAAGATATAGTCCAGTGTCTTAGACCACTTCCTGTTGCCTGAAACATGTAGGACTCTCAGCTACTTCTCCAGCATCATGTCTGCCTGCATGCCACCATGTCCCACCATGATGATAATGGACTGGACCTCTGAACTGTAAGCAAGCCATCTTAATTAAATATTTTTCCTTTGTAAGAGTTGCTGTGATCATAGTGTCTCTTCACAGCAATAGAAACCCTAAGAGAGACGGAAATCTTAACGGATCAGCCTAGGTTCTGGCAGAGAACTGGAGTGATCATTTCTGTCCCCTGGGATAGGATGTGATGAATGGGAGTGTGTAGCCCCAAGGCACAGGGACAGGAAGTCTGAAAAGTTAAATTCTGCCTTCAAGCCCTGGGGAGTAGGGGAGTAAAGGTCCAGAGAGAAATCCAGACTCAACTGGGTCATAAAATAGATAAACAAGATATGCATAAGAAGATACACTCACACAATCAGTTTTACTGGCCATTGGCCATGCTGGCCACTAATGTGTTGGCCTGATTTAAAGAGCCAGGGTGTCGAGTGGCAGGAAGGACAGAACCAGGGCATATTCCAAAAGCTGAAGACCTGAGCCACAGCAATGGAATGAGGGATGGAAGGTGGGAGGAAGTATCAGCTTCCTGGATTGTACAGGCACTTGATTCATCACGCATACAATCACATGCTAGAAACCTGCAACACAGATAACTGGGTAACAAACATGACAAGTTAATGGTTAATCTTTTGATGCAACTGTAAATAAGATAGGACAAGACAGTACACAATTAATGCATTGTTCCAGCAGAGAAGCAAGGCCTCCAGTCAAACATAGTGAGGGAGGCTTCCTGGAGGAGGTGTCAACTGCAAAAAAATGGGAGGAATCTGAATCAGGAAAAAAGGTCTAGGGAGGAAAGTCTTGGCATGCCTGCAGAAATAACAGAAGTGGGCCAGCACGAGCAATGTTGGAGGGCATTGGATGCAATGCAGCTGGTCACAGCCTGGCATCTTGGCTGTGAACAGAGTACTCTGAGAACAAGCACGGTGTGCAGGAAGACCATTTTCTTTCTCTGTTCTGTCTACTTACTAGAATCACTTAAAGTGTATTCCAAGATTACTACTACTCAACTTGCTCAATCAATCAGAAAATTGGGGAGTAGAGATGAGGTCAAGGGTATGACATAGGAACAGTTCTCCCATGCTAAAGTCAGACTGTGTAGATAGATTGGCTGGAGAGATGCTCAAGTCTAAGTATACTTTATATAAACTTGTTTTCTTCTTTCAGGAAGAAATAGCTTACTGCCAGGCTTCACTTCCTGTTTTACATACAGTCATAAGCTAATATAAAGTCTACGTAAGTCTTCCTCTAAGTCAAAATCAAACTAAAGAACAAATTTCTGTTTGCCAACTACTTTCCACAAGTTATACACATTAATTTCTAAAACTAAAAGTCTAATAATAAATTAACTAATAATAAAAGTCTAATAATAAGTTAACTGCTTCACAAAACCATTTATATTTTAGTAGCAAAACGGGGGGGGGGGGGAGGCTAACAGAACATTCTGTTTCAAAGAGGAAATGCTTTTAAACCACTTTGTAAAAGTCATCATATCCCAGGCCCTTCGCTGCCGTCTTTGCTAGTCTCTGCTGTCTGGGAGCTATGAGAAGACCAGCTGGACATTTTCCTTATGATACTAAATCCCAGGAACTCTAAGAAAATGGGTATCTAAAATGGATTTCTATGGAAGTTGTTTGGAAACAAGAAAATAACGTGATTTTTTTAATGAAAAGAAAGAATTTTATTTTTAAAAATGTGGAGAAGCCAGCCATGGTGGTACACACCCTCAGCACAAGGGAGGCTAGAGCAGAAGAGTTGTCACAATTCAAAGCCACTATGAACTACATAGTGAGTACTGAATACCAGGTCAGCAGGGGCAACAGAGTGAAACAAACAAGAAACAGTAAGGATGTGTCCAAGTTTTGCTTCACTAGTATGTTAAACATATTACAATCTAAAATCTTAGTGTGCCTAAAGGGCCATTTAGAGGTTTTGCAGTACCAGATGCTGCAGACCCACCTCATAGAACTGTATAACCTGGGGCAGCAAAGCTAGGAGGTGACTGTAGGAACACAGCAGAACAGCATGAACTGTGGTGGCTACTTACACATTTTAAGAACTTGAATTGACCAAATCAATCACTCAGTGGGGGCTGAAGTTAAAACATTGGGTAGCGAAGGCTTCCGAAGCCAGCAGAGGGACAAGTTAATGAACAAAGTGATGCTGGGAGGGATGGAATGGACGCGGCAGAGGATGTAGACGTCAGTGGCAGAGCAAGTCACCAGCATAAAGATGGGGC